CACAGCCAGTGCAGCTGAGGGCGGGTGCATCATGGCAGCTGCCACAGGGTGAGTCAAATAGGAAGAGTGAGGTTGAGGCAGAGGAAAGGGCATGCAGTCTGACCCAAGTGTTGTTCCCAGCTGGTGCCAAGAAGCCTCTGTTATACCTCTGGTGGGGCCTTGGAGAGGAATGTGGTTTCTATAAGAAATTGGAAGAAGACCAAGAATACGAGTGTGTAGAAGAATCACTATATTTTTAGGAGGTTTGGTACTGGTAGAACTCTAGATGTACTTAATTTCTTAAAGTCTTTAGCTGTAAAATTGGCCTGGCCACACCCATCTCTTTTACTTAATGAATTTCTCATGAGGACCGTTTCAATGACAGCCACATCCCATTGAAGAACTTAGCTTCTCGTGTCTGAATTCAGGGTACATCATTGGGTTCTTTCAGGACCTAGGTCACACCTTGCAAGGCATCATGGTGGGACCTTATGTTCTTTCACCCCAAACCATTAGGGCCTGCTTATGCTTCTTAGATAATGGTGTCTCAGTGTCTCCAAGAGGGAAGGCAGCTTTGATATAACTCCAGTGTCCAGTGTCTGTTCATCCCTTTTTGACTATGACACAGGCACAATGACACTGACATACTGGATACAACTCCACAGGTTCAAATCAAATCCCTGTGAGCTCACAGTTAGGTCTGCTTCTCTCTCCCAATCTAAAAAGCATATCAGTGGACAAATGCTGGAGAGCTATGTTAACTACTATGCTCATTTGTTTTCAAATCATTCACACATTTTAGTAATTCAACAATTATTACCAACAAATTCTTTGTTGCATGCCTTACCACCACAAGAAAACCTCTAGTGTTTTAACTTGTAATTGATTCAGAGAATTGAGAGAATAACTCTTCCTTTGTTGACCTAAGTGATGGTACTTGGGTTTTTTTCTCGCTAGTGGGACTTAAGATCCTCCGTACTCTTGTGATAAAGAGAATGCATTTGTGAGTTGGCTGGCTGAGTTCGAAGTGCCTTCTTCATCCTTAAAGCAGAGATCAGATAACTGGCCCATGAAGAAATTAAAGCCACGATCTTGCCTAGTCCATGATTTTTTTCATTTTTTTGCCTAGTCCTCTCTTTTAAGAGCTTATCCATCTGATGTCAGCTTTGGGAAAAGTTTGAGGTGGCTAGTCTTTTCTATAGCTCTAAGGCTTAAGTGACTTTTTATAACACACTCATAATTCTTTACTTATTGCAACCTCCTCATGCAAAGGGCAGAAGTTGCTGCTTCTGATTCTTAAATATCTTCTGCTTGCAGAGTGAGAAAAATACAATGTTACGGGGTCCCAGCCAGTGTGGTGCATTGGTAACACAAGTATCCTGCAAGCTGGAAGCCATATGGCCAGCCATAGGTTCAGATCTCCAGTCAGCTTGAAAATATAATAGATACATGTGCAGGTGATCAGGAGCCTGAGGAGCTCAAGGAGCAAGGAAAGGAGATCATGGTGTGACAGGACCCTGTTGAGAGCACGTCTCCCTCTTTCTCTTTCATGCATACATGTGCGTGCTCACGCTCTATCATTAAAACAAACAAACAAACAAAACAACGAAATAAAAACATTATGGACTAGTTAGTATTTAATTACTAAGGATGAAAGAATTCTAGATTAGCATTTAGATGGACTAGATTCTAAGGGGGTAGAATGTATGTGTGTGGGACGATGGAGGTCTGAGTCCATGTGGACCTAGGCTGGTGGGGAGGTAGCAGGATTGACAGCTGTTTGGCTGCGGGATGCTCAGAATCCCACCTAATTCCAACCCTGTCCTCTACCAGACACCCCTTTCCCAGAGTGTTCAATGGATGCAACAGAAAGGAGCTGGACAGGTATCTGCAGTCAGGCGGTGGAATGTGTCTCTCCAACATGCCGGACACCAGGACGCTGTATGGGGGCCGGAGGTGCGGGAACGGGTACCTGGAAGATGGGGAAGAATGTGACTGTGGGGATGAAGAGGTAAGATGTCCCAACGGTGCTAGTAGTGGGGAAGAGTTAGCCCTGGTTTCAAAGCTCAAGATCAAAGAGAATGTAGTCAAAAATGGAGTCACAGGCATGTCCTGCAATGACTATCCAAGAGCCCATCTCAATAAGACATGAAGAAGTAGCATGACAGGACAGCCTCTCCCAGTGTGTGGCTAGTACTGTTTGTGTCCACAATCAGGGTGGAGCTCTTCTTGTGAGTGTCTGGTCTAACCAGAAACCACAGTCATGAGGCGTATTGGTTCTCTACCCCAGTGGAGCTACAGATGCCTCCTTGGCCTTCCAGCTGCACTAAATTTATTCTTAGGCCACACGGCCGGATATATGGACTTGAACATGGGCCTTATGAGGATGCTTAAAATAGCAAGCTCGTGCTGTTGAGCCTGGAGAAAAGATGATTGAAAGCGAGTGTAGGAAGTGCTGTCAAGTCTCAAAAAGGCTGCTAGGAGGAAGAAGGAATCATGCTACTTGTTATTAGCTCTTTTTTTTCCTGTGATGTTCAAAGCGAGCGTGGAGGGCACACAGCGCATCTCTGTCGTTTTGAACCAATGCATGTTATTTTGCAAAAAGCAGAACTGGATTGTTTCATCTTTGTGTCTTGAAAGATAAAAATATTTCTATTAACACATGTGTAACAACTTGGGGAAGAATAAGTAACGGTCAGCTAAGGGTGGGACTGAGCATCTATACATGTGGAAAAAAGGTAATTTTGTAACCTCGGCCATGCATCTTTTTTTAATACCAGCATGCAGTTCTTAGGATAAAAACAGACTAATTGGACACCCTCACTCCATCTTCATGAGCACAGAGAGATCAGCCTAGACCTTCAGAAAGGAGGGAGTTGTATTAATGGGGGACATCCCCTGGGGTTCAAGTGCAGCCCAGAGTGAACCTGGCCAGTGGGCTTATATTGTGAGCAGCTGCTTTATTCAACAGACATCTACCGAGTGTGAGTCTCTGGATCAGGGACTAGAGATAGGGTGGATGACAAAAACAGACATCATTCCTGTCCTTGAGAAACTCGTAGTCTAGTGGGGGACACACATGTTGACCAGATCACTGAAAAGGTATGCAAGTCCAGTTCATGGCCAGGGCTAGAAGGGCAAGTTACCTGGTGCTGTGAAGAGCTGTACTGTGATGGGAAGCTGCCCTTTGGGTGGGTGGTCTTAGGAGCATGAGGAAGAGAGGGACATTTCAGGTCAAGGAGGGGTCCGTGCCTTGAGGTAGGAGGAAATATGGTATTATATATTAAATGGCCAGAAGGCAGGTCTGCCTGGAGCCCAGGATGGTGGCATACTAATGGGAGGAAAATTCTTGTGTTTTTCTCTTAGGTAGGCAGGTGTCTATGGACAGGTGGTAAGATATGTCTCTCCGGCATGTTGGGCCCCAGACAGTTACGCTCACATTGTGGTTATAAACATGGGGCGGAGCCCAGTTAGGCATGGCTTGCACTTGGCAGGTGGAGATATGTGGAGAGCCTTATATGGCATGATGGAGATATGTGTAGAGCCTGGTATATTGTCAAGAAATTGCTTATGGATAAGTCCGTGAATATTGTGGGAGTATGATAAAGACGCTCAGAGTCACTGAAATGTCTTATCTTTTTAAAATTTTTTGCTATAAGGCCTATGCGCACTTGCTAGAGAGACAGGAGATAGAAAGTGAAAAATCACCCCCAGGGGCAATGGCCATGTCACAATCCCTTCTCCATTCTCCTCCCAGGATTCTGGGCATGTGTGCACCTGCACCTAGCATGAGTTTCAAGCTGCCAGGTCTGGGCCTCAAATCACAGTTGAGTCCATGGGAGTCCAGCGATGTAACCATTATGCCATCTGCTGATCCCTTATTATCTTTTTAGAATCAGAGTATATGTCAGCAAATTAGGACCTATGGGGCAGAAAGGAAAAGACAAGGGTTAGAGACTTTCTGTTCCAGAAATTTCCAGGGAAGGGAGGGTTTAGGAAGAGCAGTAGATGGAGGAAGAAGCCTGAAGAAACAGGTTAGGAGTTGAATAAACTATTCAGAGGTTGCTCCAGTAAGCCTTTGCTCCAGTGGCCCCTTTTGGTGGGATAACAAGGCCTGGGAGGGTGGACGATGGGGACAGCAGTAGTGGAAGACGGTGTCTCAGGGGATGAGAAAATCATAGAATTTCCATGTCATATGGTGCTCAGCTAAGACTCACGTTTTAGAAGGACTCATGGTGGATGCTTAAAATAATAAGAAATGTGCACACTGCATTAGGTTAAAAAGCAGCATGGGCCCAGCTCTGGTGGTGCATGCTGCTAACATGCTGTGCTCCATAGGCTGGCAGCACAGGGGAGGCCCAGGTTCGATTCCTAGAAGTGGAATGCTGGAAGTGGTAGCTTCTTCCTGTAATGCTAGTGACTCAAGAGGCTGAGGCAGGAGTACCTGAAGCTCAGTGTTGGACAGCATAGTGAGATCCTGTCTGAAAGAGCTGTCTGTAGTCCCAGCCACTCAGGACGCTGAGGCAAGATCACAGTGCAGGGAGTCCTTGTCCAAGAAAAAAGGGACATAGATACTATAATTTCATGAAAAGAAAAAAAAAGTATATACATATATATATATAACACCCTCACTCCATCTTCATGAGCACAGAGAGATCAGCCTAGACCTTCAGAAAGGAGGGAGTTGTATTAATGGGGGACATCCCCTGGGGTTCAAGTGCAGCCCAGAGTGAACCTGGCCAGTGGGCTTATATTGTGAGCAGCTGCTTTATTCAACAGACATCTACCGAGTGTGAGTCTCTGGATCAGGGACTAGAGATAGGGTGGATGACAAAAACAGACATCATTCCTGTCCTTGAGAAACTCGTAGTCTAGTGGGGGACACACATGTTGACCAGATCACTGAAAAGGTATGCAAGTCCAGTTCATGGCCAGGGCTAGAAGGGCAAGTTACCTGGTGCTGTGAAGAGCTGTACTGTGATGGGAAGCTGCCCTTTGGGTGGGTGGTCTTAGGAGCATGAGGAAGAGAGGGACATTTCAGGTCAAGGAGGGGTCCGTGCCTTGAGGTAGGAGGAAATATGGTATTATATATTAAATGGCCAGAAGGCAGGTCTGCCTGGAGCCCAGGATGGTGGCATACTAATGGGAGGAAAATTCTTGTGTTTTTCTCTTAGGTAGGCAGGTGTCTATGGACAGGTGGGAAGATATGTCTCTCCGGCATGTTGGGCCCCAGACAGTTACGCTCACATTGTGGTTATAAACATGGGGCGGAGCCCAGTTAGGCATGGCTTGCACTTGGCAGGTGGAGATATGTGGAGAGCCTTATATGGCATGATGGAGATATGTGTAGAGCCTGGTATATTGTCAAGAAATTGCTTATGGATAAGTCCGTGAATATTGTGGGAGTATGATAAAGACGCTCAGAGTCACTGAAATGTCTTATCTTTTTAAAATTTTTTGCTATAAGGCCTATGCGCACTTGCTAGAGAGACAGGAGATAGAAAGTGAAAAATCACCCCCAGGGGCAATGGCCATGTCACAATCCCTTCTCCATTCTCCTCCCAGGATTCTGGGCATGTGTGCACCTGCACCTAGCATGAGTTTCAAGCTGCCAGGTCTGGGCCTCAAATCACAGTTGAGTCCATGGGAGTCCAGCGATGTAACCATTATGCCATCTGCTGATCCCTTATTATCTTTTTAGAATCAGAGTATATGTCAGCAAATTAGGACCTATGGGGCAGAAAGGAAAAGACAAGGGTTAGAGACTTTCTGTTCCAGAAATTTCCAGGGAAGGGAGGGTTTAGGAAGAGCAGTAGATGGAGGAAGAAGCCTGAAGAAACAGGTTAGGAGTTGAATAAACTATTCAGAGGTTGCTCCAGTAAGCCTTTGCTCCAGTGGCCCCTTTTGGTGGGATAACAAGGCCTGGGAGGGTGGACGATGGGGACAGCAGTAGTGGAAGACGGTGTCTCAGGGGATGAGAAAATCATAGAATTTCCATGTCATATGGTGCTCAGCTAAGACTCACGTTTTAGAAGGACTCATGGTGGATGCTTAAAATAATAAGAAATGTGCACACTGCATTAGGTTAAAAAGCAGCATGGGCCCAGCTCTGGTGGTGCATGCTGCTAACATGCTGTGCTCCATAGGCTGGCAGCACAGGGGAGGCCCAGGTTCGATTCCTAGAAGTGGAATGCTGGAAGTGGTAGCTTCTTCCTGTAATGCTAGTGACTCAAGAGGCTGAGGCAGGAGTACCTGAAGCTCAGTGTTGGACAGCATAGTGAGATCCTGTCTGAAAGAGCTGTCTGTAGTCCCAGCCACTCAGGACGCTGAGGCAAGATCACAGTGCAGGGAGTCCTTGTCCAAGAAAAAAGGGACATAGATACTATAATTTCATGAAAAGAAAAAAAAAGTATATACATATATATATATATAAAGAGGCTTCAGAAAGTTTATGGAAAAGTGTATTATGCAAGGATTTCAAAATTTTGCACCAAAATAACTTGTACTTCAATTCCATTTTTCCACGAATTTTTGAAGTTCCCCTATATGTATATGAAAATGTGTGGGAAAATAATTGGTACTCAACATGTAGTTGTGTCTAAGTTGTGATATTCCTGATGACTGAATGCATTGTAGACTTTCTATGATCTTTAGTGATAAAGCTGTCATTTTCTTTTTTGGAAAATAGTTGCCAGGAGCTGGGCTCTAGGGCATGGAGGGGGCAGGGTGGGGGATAGGACAGGGAAATGCCAGGAGGTCACACCTACCCTGCCCAGGCTGGCTCCCTTCCCTGCTGTCCTTGAGGCTCATGCCTGTTCCATACCTCCCCAGGAATGCAACAACCCCTGCTGCAATGCCTCCAATTGTACCCTGCGGGAAGGAGCAGAGTGTGCCCATGGCTCCTGCTGCCACCAGTGTAAGGTAAGCTGCCCTTCTCCCCTGCAGTGGGTTTTAGCCCTGCTAGGGAGAATGAGGGTGGGGGTAATGGCCAGGAGTCAGCCTCCATCCTGGGGAGTAATGGCACCAGTGGAGCTGGAAAGGTCTCTTGAACCAACTTTACTATTTCCTGTACTGGTCCTCACTATGTTCCAATCATCTCAGCGAGCAATGCCTCCTGGGGGATTGTAGGGTTTTTGGTTTTGTTTTCTTAAAGAAATGTCCACATGATTTTGTTTGGAGTTCATAATGATCATCATAATTTTGGACCATATTAATGGAGCTCTCTATCCGTGCCAAACCCTGAGCTGAGAACTTTACGTATGTGTCTCCTTCACTCATGCAAGTCCTGTGAGTGGACGTTGTTATCCTCATTTTAAGAAACACCGAGGCTAAGGGCATAAGTGGCTTACCCAGAATCAAATGTCAGGAAGGGGACCCAGGTTTCCCTGACTCTGGAGCCCACAACTTGAACACCACTGCAGGAAATGAATGGCTTATTACTACTCATGTGACTGTAGGGTCACAGTTCTGAAATTCAGAGAGCTCTGAAAACTGGGGGAGAAAATTAAACTCAGTTGGTGGTAAAACTTAACCTGAATTGGATGAGACTGATTAATAAAAATAAAAATCATACTTAAAGTGAGTATTTATATTTCACCACAGAAGTACTAATGTATTGGAGGACCAGCCAAGTGGCATGGTGGTTAAGGTAGCTGGATCCCACAGGGCTGGCTGCGTGGTCTGAGTCCCAGTGGCTTCAAAGACATGCTGGGCATCTGTGCATGTGTGCCCGAATCCTGAGAGGAGAATAGAGAAAGGATTGCCATGTGGCCATCCCCCTGAGGGATGCTTTCTCACTTTCCCTCTCTCCATCTGTCTCTCTCCAGCAAGTGCATATGCCCTATAGCAAATTAAAATAATAATAATAATAATGTGTTGGGTTATAAAGGTTTATCTCAGGCCCAACTAGGGGCTTATATAGCACCCACACAAAGTGCTTGTCTGAAAACGTGAAAAATCTGACACCCACCTGGCCCCACAGCTTTGGATGGGAATTGTGGGCCTGTGCTTCCATCTCCCTCTCACGGACCGTCAGGACATGCCAGATACTGTTAAATACTTCCTTCTAACTCCTTGCTTCTAACAACCCCAGACAGTATTATTATCTCCAATTGTGGGTGAAGGAAAACAACAGGGTTATGTAGCTGTCCAAGGTCCCACTGCCTGTTCGGGAGTTGGGATTCGAACCCAGGCAGGCTGGCTCCAGGGCAGGTGCTTTCACCTCTACTCTGCTCCTGGGCGTGGCGTTGTGTCCTGCAGCTTCCTCTTCCATATGCCAGCATCACCCACACTTGCTCTGGAGCTCCGTTCTTCAGCAGGCAACCTGGCTGGCCCCTCTCCATCAAGCGATGCCGGCAGAGGGACCTGTCTGCTTTCTCCCCTGGGAGGATCCGTGGGTGGTGTGGAGTCCTGGGAGCAGGGCAGGGACTTTATTCCCAGTCACAGGTTTCCTTGCTGGGCTCAGGAAGCTTGACACCATCTGGTTTGACCTAGTGTTCCCCAGGGAGGCTGTGCTGGGTCAAGTCCTTCCTGTCTTAGTCCGAGGCCTGAGAATAAGCGTGGAGTGTGACCACTTCATTCAGTTCTGGGATTTTGGTTTGAGCCTTGGGAAGAATTCCCTTGTCCAAGACCTATGAGATCAAGTGCTGGCGTGACTTGGGGCAGCCTCTTAACCATTTGAGCCTAGGTTCTTTATCCAAAAAATGGGAAGAATATTAGTAACACAGACCACCCAGGGTTGGAGGAGAGGAGGCTGTAATTCTCAGATGAAAACTCTTTTCTTTTTTTTTTTTTTTTTACCATTTGCCTAGCGTGTGTTATTGATCAGGTTATTTGATCTGTAAATTGGGGCAAAGAGCAGTACTTATCTCACGGGTTTTGTGAGAATCGCATGAGATAAGTATATGTCAGAGACTCAGCCTATGGTTTGGCTTAATAATGGGGATGCATTATTGCTAAAATGCTTTGTATATTCAAAGATGTCACATGAATGCTAGTTGTGTGTGTGTGTGTGTGCACGTGTGTATGTGTGTGTGTGTGTTTATATGTGCTAGTGGGCTTGTTTTTTTTTCCTGCCACTTAGTAACGAGGAGATTTTGGATAAATCACTGGCCCTCTTTTAAGCCTCATGTTCCATCATCTGTAAAACAGGGATAGTGACATTGCGTGGAAATATCATGAGAACTTGACAAAGTATTGTTTGTATTAGGCACTTGAGTGCAAGCCACAGAGGTAGCTGATTTACTAAAGCACATAGCTGTACATTGTCGCTTAGACATTATTTCTTACCTACTTCAATTGCTCTGAAGAGGAAGTAAGTTAGCATTTATAGAAACACTTCGCAAACTCTAAGTCACTATTATGATTAGAAGAGTGAGAATGGTCTGGGCTAATAAGGTCATGTAAAAGTGCTGTGAAAGAATGCTAATGGAGGGCCAACTGATGGCATAGTAGTCTAAGTGCTGGACTCCCACATGGTCGACCACGGTTCGAGTCCTAGACCCAGTGGGTTGAATCTCATGCTGGGCATGTGTGCATGTGTACCCACAATCCCATAAGGAGAATGGAAGAGAAGGGATTTCAGTGTGACCATCCCCCCTGGGAGGTGATGACTTGCTTTCTGTCCCTCTGTGTCTCTGGTGAGCTCATATACCCCATAGCAAATATCTCTCTAAAAATAAAATAAGAATGCTAATGGAAGATTCTGTTTCCCTAGAATGATACTTATGAACCATTGGTGGATAGGACTGAAGGCAGGCAGGAGATTAACTTTTCTTCTCTCTTGTTCCTTGGCTCAGCTGCTGGCTCCTGGCACCCTATGCCGTGAGCAGGCTCGGCAGTGCGACCTCCCGGAGTTCTGCACGGGCAAGTCTCCCCACTGCCCCACCAACTTCTACCAGATGGACGGGACCCCCTGCGAGGGTGGCCAAGCCTACTGCTACAATGGCATGTGTCTTACCTACCAGGAGCAGTGCCAGCAGCTCTGGGGGCCTGGTAAGGCTCTGCTGGGGAACAAGGTCCTCCTGCCGTACCACTGCCAAGCCAGCCTCCCCAGACTGTGGGGAGCTCAGAATCTTGGCTTCAGCACAGCACCTCCAAATATTACCCCTTTCATCCCCTTGACTCAGGGTAGATATTCGGGGAGATCCAAGAGATATCACTCTTCCCAGCCTCTTGATCCTTTAGTTCTGAGAGTGGGAAAGTAGGTAAGAATAATCCAAAAGAGAAATGAGCAGGGGATAGAGACTCAAAGCAAACGTAAATGACCCTTACATAATGGAATGATGTTTAACCTTGATCGTATTAAAGGAAGGCAAGTTATAACTACTACAAGGTGAGTTTTTCATGTATCAGATTGAAAGACTAAAAGTTAATGAAATAATAATACTAATAATATAGTAACAGTAATAATATAGTGTTGAAGAAGATGTAAAGAAATGGGTGCACCCCTAATAGAAAGCAATTAGAGATCTCAAAATTTTAAATGCACTTATTGTGTCCATCAATTGTACTACATGGAAATGTACCTACACTTGTACTTGACCTAAGTGTCAAATATATTTACAAAGATGTCTGTTGCTCCGCTGTTGGTGATAGTAACAACAACCTGCATGTCCATCAGTAGGATGGATTCGATTAATTTGGAACCATCTATGCAATGAAGCACCATGGCTAAATAAAATAATCTCTCACAATAAATTAAGAAAAAAAAAAGCGAGGTACAAGACAATGACTAGAATATACTTCTTTATTAAATAGATCTCTAGAATACACACATGGAATTGTATCTAGGAGATACAGGAGACAGAGATACAATGATTTCTAGAAAATACACCGTTAATAGTGTCATTTCTTCAGGTTGTAG